CTAGACTGAGAGCTAATTTATATACTTAATTATAACTCTTAACTGATAAAACTGGTTTGATTGTGAATTACTTGGTTTAGGAATCATCAGTTTCCATCTTGTATATAGTGTTCAAGAAAGATGGACTCTAACCTGGTTAAAGATCTTTAACTACTACTGAATAAATAATTTTAGGGTATGTTAGGAGTGGAAATTTACCTCCATATTTTCAGGGATACATTCTGGAGATATCCGTGAAATTGCAAACAGCAAAACTGTGGATGGTGAGGTCTTGTTTTATATCTCTTCCTGTTTTATAAGTAGAGGTGAGAGAGATGTTGGGTCTTCTCCATCAGTTTCTTTCTTGTCAATTTATTTATGACACCTTCAAATGCCTTTATGAGAGCGGGGACGGGGGAGGGAGAGGGAAGAATATGCTGTAAAATACACTGTTTATTTAAAAAGACAAAGACAAAGTACAAGAAAGGGTAAGAAGTCAGTAATCTCAGTAAATATCCCACTTTAGCTTGCTATGTGGTAACAGAAGAGGAGGATTGGGTTTCACTTTGACTCTTTCATAGTCTGCAATTCTAGACCCTGGAAAAACTGGTTAGAACAATTAGACATAGAAGTGAGACGTTGAAAAGCTGGTACTTTGTTCTATTACTTTATTGGCTATTATTTCTAGCTCTGTTAGTTGGGCTCTTGAAAAATGGGGTAACTATAGAGATTGTCTCTTTATTCACAATGTAATTTTGCTTCAGAAAAAAATGTTTGTCTTTGAAAATGTGCTGATTAGATTAGTTTTATTAATCTGAGTGCTAATAAAATAAAAAATAATGAATAATTATTTAATGCTGAATATAAGCTACTATTAGGAGCTTATGTACGTGCACCTGTATATAATATTTTAAATTCCGTATGTGCTAGAAAGTGTAACAAATAAGAAATGAGCTTGTTCAACAATATGGAATTGGTTTGGTTGATTGAACAACAGGTACTGAAATTGTAACTGAAACAGCAAGAAAAGAATGATTAAGTAGACAAGTTGTAAACTAGGGATGTTAACTATCAGGTATTTGGATAAACATGTAACTGCTGGAAGTTTTAGTGGTTACACATTTACATGTGGTGGGGGCAGGCAGGAGCTAGTGCTTGTCTCCTCCCCCCAACCTCTGATAAAGAGGCAGCAGTGCAGGAGGCAGGGAGCTTCACAGGAGCAGATATGCATGGGGAGCCAGCTTGAAAACCGCTTCCCACATGTACCAGCTCCTGCATTGTCCCCTTCCCCCCATGCTACGGCCTCTCTATCAGTGGCAGCAGCGTGGGGGTGGGGGAGGCGGTTCCATGGGAGCCAGTGCTCGTGAGGAGCTGGCTTTTAAGATGGCTCCCCCCAAGCATCAGCTCCCTTCTCCCCTCCCCCCCCCGCCCACCCTCCACTGCTGCCTCTGTGGGAGGAAGGGTGGGGAGGTGGCTTTGTGGAAGCCAGCACAAATGGCAAGCTGGCTTAAAAGCCAGCTCCCTGTGTGTGCTGGCTTCCGCCTGCCCTCGTCTCCTCCACACGCCCCCTCCTGCGCTCAGGGATGGCCCGTGACTATAGGCGGCCTCAGCTGTCGCCTGGGGCGCCCAATGATGATGTCACAGGGCACCTGGGGCGCCCGATGATGACGTCAGTCCATTGATGGCCCTGCAGGCGGGGGCGCCAATCGCGCGTTCCGCCTGGGGCGCCAGCTGCCACAGCGCACCTCAGGCCGCTCCTGCCTGTGCTGCTGCCGGTGGAGGCAGCAGCGGGGCGGGGAGGCAGGTGGCTCAGAGGAGTGGTTATGCATGGAGAACTGGGTTAAATGGAGGCAACAAGGCAGGGGAGAGCAGGTGGTTCCATGGTCAGCTCCCTACGCATATCAGCTCCCTCCTCCCCTCACCCTTGCTGCCTCTGAGGCAGCAAGGAGGGAGGAATGCGTGTAGATGATAGACTTAACCGATTAAACCCAGTTTACTGGTTAATAATGTAATTGACTACATGTTGACATCCCTATTGTAAACAAGCATAACTGGAAGAACTGAGTTTGGTACCTAACACCTGAATTGGGCATCTATAAATATCTGCATAGAACAATAATGAAAAACTACTCACAGATGAGAATTGTATTGCATATGGAATGGAAATGTACAGGAGTTCTGAGTCTTGCTGATGTACTGGAAATATTAATATCACTTTTGTGGTTAACTTGTGATTTAATAAGGTGAGTATGGAGCCAATTACAGAATGTAATGGACAAGTTAAATATTGTAAAGAAGAGAGACATAAAAGGGAGCTGTAATCAAGTTGGACCAGACTAAGCTGTGAAGTTGTCCCCAGAAGGGTGAATTGTATTAACCTTTGCCTTTCTCTATTTGTGTTGCTCTCTTTTCATTTAATTTAGCCCAAATGGTTTTTATTATCTGACATTTCATTGACCAGTCATCTAAATTAACACCCCTAATGTGGAAAAAATCTTTGTCTTTGAAAATGGTGTGCTGTGGATGTGCCAATGGCCACATCCTGTTGCAACGGTGCAAAGGCCAGCAGAATTATTAATAAAGGTTTGTGTCCAGTAAGATGGCTTCATACAATTTTTTATGTTTAGAATTCCTCTTACAAGATGTGTCTCTCTCCTTTATTCAGCATGCCACTGGATGAGCTTGACATGTTATCAAGTTAAATAATACTAAGTCCATTTGTATTCATTTTGTGTAGAAAATACTGGCAATAGGATATTTTACTGATCTACCAGCTGGCACTAAATGAAGATTACAGCCCATTAAAAATTGACTAATACCGTAAAATCTCGAGTATAATGCGCACCTACCTTTTAAACGTTAGAAACCCTGAATAAACTGAACTCTTATCTATAGCGCGCACCCTGACTTTGCCATATTTTGTCTTGCCTTTTTGTACTGCCGGGTAATCACGCGTGAGCGCACGAGTATATAGTGCGCGGCATTCCATGCTCTCTTTGGGATGCCATGAGTTGTTGGCGATCTTACACGACCGCTGAAAAACTGAAAGTTGTTAGCTATGCCTAGGCTCATGGCAACAGAGCTGCCAGCCGTGAATTTGATGACATAGCAGAGTCTAACATTCGGCTTTGGAGACGGCAGAAAGAGCGCCTGCAAGCGCTGCCTAGGATGAAGATGGCTGAGCGAGGTAAAAGCGCTGCATATCCTGAGTTGGAGGCCGAGTTGGAGGCCAAGCTGGCTGAATGGATTGCTGAGCATAGACAGTGAGGCAGTGGGGTTAGCATTGCGGAGGTTAGAATGAAGGCTTTGACCATTGCCAAAATGTGCACTAACACAGCCGGGTTTAAAGCTTCACATGGCTGGGGCGATAGGCCATGGCGATTCATGAACCGATCGGTCCAACTCCGAACAACAATTGCACAGAAGCTACCCATGGACTCAGACACCAAGTTACTGCAGTTCCAAAAGTGTATCATAAAGCTACGGAAGCAGCACTGCTACGACCTTTCATTAATTAGTAACGCAGATCAGACACCATTACATTTCGATAATGCCTACGACAGAACGCTTGAACTGAAAGGAGCCAAGACAGTCTCCAATGCTACCACAGGCCATGAAAAGTCTAGGTTTACCATAATGCTTGCTTGCATGGCCAATGGAACGAAGCTACCTCCTTATATTGTGTTCAAGCGCAAGACAGTACCAAGGAATGTAATCTTCCCAAACACTGTTCACATGCGTGTTCACCCTAAAGGCTGGATTTATGAAGCTTTAATGCTTGATTGGCTACAGACGTTTTGGGTAATGCCAAAGAATGTTATATTCCCGAACACCATTCACGTGAGTGTTCACCCTAAAGGATGGATGCATTTTGGTGTCATTGTATGCCATCCATCAAGAAAAGGCGTCAGCAGGACAAAACAGACTTGGCAATTATTCCTGGTGGAATGACCAAAATGTTGCAACCGCTTGATGTGACAGTTAACAAGCCAATGAAAGATGCACTACGCAGGAAATGGAACACCTGGTTGTTGGAAGGTGAACATACATTTACTGCAGGTGGACGTATGCGAACACCAACGCTGCAAGATGTTACCCAGAGGATAGCGGCTTGAACTTGATCCCGCTAAGATAAGGAAGGGGTTTCTGAAATGCAGCATCTCTAATGCTATGGATAGCAGCGAGGATGATGCCCTGTGGATGGAGCCGAGTGACGATGAATCAGCTGAGGGCGAATTACTGGTATGCAAAGATGACAGTGATTTGTATTACCTGGATGAAGATGTCGAGGACTATATCCCGGAAGATATTGCTCAACTGTTTGAGGAATATTCTAACAAAAGCAAATTCGAGGGCTTCGAAGATGAGTAGATGATCAATTAACATACCGGTATTTGCTTGTTTGCGTTGCAGTGTTGATTTCATTTGTTTAACTTACCTTTTTGAAACTGTGCATATAGTTGCTTGTTGATGCTAATAAAAATCAACTTAACCTCTGGTGTCCTGCGATTGATTAATTGCCGCAGAACCGCCAATTGAAAACTTAAAAAAAAATCCTTCTATGAATAATGCACACCCTGACTTTAACACTAAAAAAAGGGGGAGGGGGGGAAGTGTGCATTATACTCAAGATTTTACGGTAATTCAGGGCAGAGAGTGACCCAGGATCACTCAATAGAAAGCAGAGGTTCCTCTCTCCCATTGCCTCACGAAATGGACAGTTTAAGAAGAAACCTTCCCTTTGGGCTGGTCCTTAACTAACTATTGTAGGCTATGTTGCTTCTTCCTCTGAAAAATCAGAGAATTCTGGACCACTGGTGTTGTCCAGTCTGGCAATCACTCTGCTCTTAAAATTATTTTGTTGAAAGTAAGAATAAAATAACGAAGCATTGGGCATGAAGGAAGTTCTAACCGGTTAATCCTGTTGGACCCATCTGTCCAAGACACTTTTCCCCTTTTGACTGGATTTTTCTTCCCACTTCTGCTGATATTCATCTAACAAGTGCTTCTCTTCTCCTCAGTTACTGAAGAACTATCACAAGTGGAGAGCTGAGTGCCCAGAATTAAGTGCAAATTTGCAGCCTTCCTCTGTTCTCAATCTCCTGCATGCTGGTTACCATGGAGTCCTGAGATCAAGGGACCCATATGGCAGTAAGGTTCTTATTTATAGAATTGGTAAGTAATAACTCTACTCTATGGCTTAGGTCTTGTCCACACACTGTGTTGTGTACTAATATAGCTCTCTTGGTTATGGGTGTGATTTTTTTTTTCTACTGAAATAATTAAACAGTTTAATGGTACAGATTATATAGCATGGATAGAGACATTCTAATAAAGCCCCACCTTCATAATATACAACTGTGTCTACTCCAGGAAAGGGAAGAGAGTTGTATTGCTTTAACTATTCCAGGTTAGATTGGTACGTGTTTTTTGTGTGTGTAGACCAGTGGTTATTATCATTGACTGGATAAAAACAGTTTCATCTGGGTTAAATGACAATTCTGGGCAAAGGTTAGAAACATGTTAAGGTTCAACATTAAGTCTAATGTTTTGGCTATTTGAAGGTCTCTTATTTAAGAGTCCAATTGACAGATACTTGAAGGATTTTCAAACTGTTTGTCTACTCCCAAGTTGTTGGAGTGTTCTGTATTAAGAACACTCTGAGGCTATGTGATCTGCTGGATGGGTTCCCAAATTGTACTTTCAGAAAGACCCACTGAATGTGCTCTAAAGTTAATCAGTAGTGACGTGCCTCACTAAGCCAGGAGGTACAAGTTCATGTACTCAAGCAGCAGTGCCTCCTCAGCTATGCACCCTTAACATGCAGAGTAAGAACTCTCACATGTGCTTTGAGAGCTGGGGAGAAGAAACAAAAAAGGATTTTTGAGTGTTGTCAGAATTCATGTCTATTGCAGAGAGGTTCTCAGCTGGGAGATGGAAATTCTGAAGCGCTAGATTAAGTGCACTCTTTAGTGATAGCCATAAATCTCTTTAATTTTTGACTATTTACCTGTGTGTATCTATTACATTTAACATAGCTGGATAAAGTAGTGCTCATTTGCTGTTGACCCTACTCCGTGTGTGTCTGTTAGTTAAATAGGCGTCTGCCATGTTAATTATTGTATTTAGCATCCCGCCCTTATTATTTATTTCTATTTCAGTAGTTCCTATGAAACCACTGACAAGGATCATGGCCAGATTCTGTAGTACTAGAGACAAGCCTTGTCCTCACTAAGGAAAAAGTGCATTTTTAATGTGTTCAAATCTTAGTGTAGACAAGGCAATTTCTTATTTTAACGCATGTTAATTGAGGAAGACCCTTCGGGTGTCTCTCTTAGATATTATACAACAGAGCTTTGGCTAGGGACTTTCCAATTTGATGACTACAGTCATGGCCAAATCTAGTTGATTCTTGAAACAAACATTGCAAGATTCTTTTCTGAAAACTTCTCGGCAGGTGTCCTACTGATAAAATAAATGAATTGCAGAGAGTAATCGTGCAGGGTGGAAGATGAACCAGACAAACTACGAATTACAGAACAGGAGAGGGCTTGAAGGAGGAAAACGATATGCCTTCATGCTCCGTGTTGCTCTTGGGGAATGCATTAGAAACAGTAGCCAGGGATAGTATATGGGCATGCAGTATCTGTGTGGTAATGCAGTAGTCTATTTGTTTTCAGGACGATGGGATCCAAAGATGTTTACGGCATATGATGTGTTTCGTGTAAGTCTTATCACATCCGAGCTTATTGTAAAAGAGAAAGAGACCCAACAAAATGGAGTCAAGGCTATCTTTGATCTTCAAGGGTGGCGATTTGCTCATGCATTTCAAATCAGTCCATCAGTGGCCAAGAGGATTGCTGCCGTGCTCACAGTAGGCTTGATGCTTAATTTTTAATTTCTTTATTGCAATAGCTAAAATGTTTATACTCTAAATTATGGTACCCTTTCCTTTTGTGTAGATCCTTGTTTAGGTAACACTGCTTGAAAGAACAAAACAGTGCTCTCTAGATCTTTTAAAAGTGAGACACTCACTTGACTGATTTAAATCTAAACTTTATTTGATTTGCCTTTGATTTGTTATTATCTGGTAGTGAATATCCTCCAGATTCTAGTTATGTGTATTTCAAATGGCAGTAAACTGCCATAAGAAATAAATAGTAATAAAGCCAATAACTAATATTATGTAGAGATGAGCCAACTAGATGAAGTCTGGCTTTGGTTTGGCAAGGGTTTGGGTTTGAGGCTGAATCCGAGTTAGGTCATTGCTATCTTGGTACATCAGTCTCAGCTTTTTTCATAATAGTTCTACCTCAGAATTTCATTAAATCAGCAGGCACCACATAGCTTTTGCCATCTTGAATAGGGGAATTCTCATATGGTTCGTTACTTTTATGATGGGGAAAATATCACTAGAATGGCTGTTCTTGTGAGAGAGTTCTCCTGCGTTTGAACCAGTAAACAGATCCCTGGTAACTTTAGAACTTGTTTTGCAGGTGTGGGGGAAAAAAGGTGCTGGGTAAATCTAGGGATTTGGATAAGTACCCCATGGCAAATGTGAAGTGTCTGCTTTGGAATCTACCCTTTTTGATTTTCAAACTTTTAAACATACTACAAATAAAGAATCAGAGAAAATAAATCAAAGTTAAATTTTGAATAGTGTTGCTTAAAGTTTATAAACTTATTTTCCATATATTCCTCCCATGTTTTTATAAGTTGGGTTGATGTTTTTCACACAGAAGTTTCTTCTGCTCTTGCTTAGCAGTTCAGGTAATTCAGGTCCCTTTTTTGTCACTGTGATGTTTAACACTTTGTTAGCCAAGATTTTAAAAAGTTAATTTCCTAAATCCATATCTAGAAACACTTCTATTTAGAGGCCTAATTTTCAGCTCCTATTTTTTCAAAACTTTACTGTTATGGGTCTCTTTTGTTTTTTTAAAAAAAAGATCTTGCATGAAATATGAGGACACAGAGAAAGAGAGAAGCTAACTGCAATGTAGAAAAAAAAATAGCATAAAAATAAGTGTTACCTATTTTTGATCCAAGTTGTTAGCTCAGTTTCAGGGTGCTGGAGGTGTTACAGTTGGAAGCAAAAACTGATAAAGTTTGGTATTGTCTACGAGGAATGTACAAAGTCCTGCTTCTCTGAACACAGGAGGAACTAAGGAAAAGACAAGCTAGCTTATAGCCCCAAGCCTTATTAGCTAGCAGATACAAAAGTGTGCTGTCTCTCTAGCTTTCCCCAGGGTCACATTGCTCCCAAGCTATTGCTTGGCTTTTTTAGATTTTATCTACCCTAGCACTTTTGTCAATTTAACTTTTGACACTCAGGATTGTGGAAAAAAAACACACCTCTGAATGACAGAAGTTTCACTGACAAAAGCACTGATGTGGACTGTGCTA